CTGGGTGAAAACTCAACTTACCCTGTCATTGTGAACTCTGATTTGGAATCTGAACAGTTGAGTGCTTTGCTTGTTGAATTGAGGAAGTACAGAAAAGCAATAGGTTACACTCTAGATGATATCAAGGGGATCTCCCCTGACCTATGCATCCATAGGATTCATCTAGAGGATGAAAGTAAGTCAAGCATTGAACCTTAGAGGAGATTGAACCCCAATCTAAAGGAAGTAGTGAAGAAAGAGATACTCAAGCTTGCTTGATGCTGGGATAATCTATCCCATCAGTGATAGCACTTGGATATCTCCAGTTCATTGCGTCCCAAGAAAGGGGGGATCACTGTCATTAAAAATGACAAAGAGGAGCTGATTCCCACTAGAACAATAGTGGGGCATCGCATGTGTATTGACTATAGGAAGTAAATTCAGAGAAGGATCATTTCCCTCTCCCTTTCATTGATCAGATGTTAGAAAGATTAGCAAACCACCCTTTTATTGTTTTCTTGATGGTTACAGTGGTTTCTTCCAAATCCCGATCCACCCTAATGATCAGGAGAAGACCACTTTCACATGCCCTTATGGCACATTTGCTTATCGAAGGATGCCATTTGGGCTGTGCAATGCCCCAGCTACTTTCCAGAGATGCATGACCTCCATTTTTTCAGATCTGATAGAGGAGATGGTAGAAGTCTTCATGGACGATTTCTCAGTCTATGGAGCATCCTTCTCCTCATGTTTGTCTAACTTGTGCAGGGTGTTGCAGAGGTGTGAGGAGACAATCTAGTACTCAACTGGGAGAAGTGCCATTCATGGTTCGAGAAGGGATTGTGCTTGGACACAAGATTTCCGAGAAAGGGATCGAGCTCGATCGAGCTAAGGTGGATGTCATGTTGCAGCTCCCTGTTCCCAAGACTGTGAAGGACATCAAGGAGTTTTCTGGGTCATGCAGGGTTCTACAGAAGATTCATCAAGGATTTCTCAAAGATAGCAAGACCCTTGACAAGGCTTCTGTGCAAGGAGACAGATTTTGAGTTTGATGAAGAATGCCACAAGTCTTGGACCTTGCTGAAGGATGCTCTGGTATCTGCGCCAATAGTTCAAGCTCCAAACTGGGATCACCCATTTGAGATTATGTGTGATGCATCTGACTATGCAGTAGGAGCAGTGCTTGGCCAAAAGATAGACAAGAAACTCAATGTCATCTACTATGCAAGCAAGACTATGGATGATGCTCAGTGCAAGTATGCAACCACAGAGAAGGAGCTCCTTGCCATAGTCTTTGCCTTTGAGAAATTTCGAAGCTATATAGTTGGGTCCAAGGTGATTGTGCACACTGACCATGCTGCCCTTAGGCACATCTTTGCTAAGAAAGATACAAAGCCAAGACTTCTCAGATGGATCCTTTTGCTTCAAGAGTTTGACATAGAAGTTGTGGACAAAAAGGGAGTGGAGAATGGAGTTGCTGATCATCTCTCTAGGATGCGAGTTGAAGACATGATCCCCATCAATGATTCTATGCCTGAAGAACAGCTTATGGCAATCATGATCTTGAAAGAAGTTTTGATGAGAAGGTCAGGCTGGAAGAAGTTAAGGCTCTGCGTGATGAGAATTTGCCATGGTATGCTGATATAGTGAACTTCATGGTGTCCGGAGAAGTCCCTAGTAGCTTTGATGCTTACAAGAGGAAGAAATTCTTCAAGGATGCTAGGCATTACTATTGGGATGAGCCTTACTTGTACAAGAGAGGACCAGACAGCATTTACAGGAGATGCATAGCTGAAGAGGATGTACAAGGAGTTCTAGAGCATTGCCATGGGTCAGCTTATGGAGGTCACTTTGCTACATTCAAAACAGCAACTAAGGTTTGCAATCTGGGTTTATGGTGGCCTACCTTGTTTAAAGATGCAGCAAGCTTACATTGCCAAGTGTGATCCATGCCAAAGGAAAGGAGGATCACCAAGAGGGACGAGATGCCACTAAACCCAATTCTAGAAGTTGAGATCTTTGATGTATGGGGAATAGACTTCATGGGACCTTTCAAGCCTTCTTCAAACGGGCACAACTACATTCTTGGTTGCTGTGGACTATGTATCCAAATGGATTGAAGCCATCCCCTGCCCAGCCTGTGATGCTGATATACCTCTAATTTACCCACTTTTTATACTGTTTTAGCATTGTTTTCTAATGGTTTTTGGCAGGTTTTCTATCTAAAAAGGTAGTTTTACTGTGTTTATAGTGTCTAGAGTCTAAACAGGTGAAATGATGCATTTTGGAGCAAAACCATAGGATTTGCACTTCAAGCAGCTCCATGCACAAGCACCAACTTTAAGAGGGCCCAGAAAAAGATCTACTCAATGGATTTCATCAAGACCAGTTCCCTGCGTGCTCTGATTGAGTTAACTTTCCAACGCAATGGAACGGCCTAATTTGGATGAGTAGAAAAGGAGTTATACCAAAAGAGTGAAGACTGTCCAGACGGCTCTATCGAGAATCAGCGCCCAACCGCGCAGTCCGGCTGGCCGAGGAACGAATGTTCCGCGCTCGGCCAAACGTATCCGTCCGACTGAAGTCTCGGCCAAAGTCCAAACCACTCGGCCGATCACGCATCACGACCCGGGAAACATTGCCCGCGGTCGGCCAAGCCAAGCGCTCACGCCACACCGCGCACGACCAAAGCGCGCGAGCCGGGAAACAAGCCTCGCGGCCGCGCAACCCATCTCGCGTACCACGGCCGATGCATCCGTCCGAGCCGGGAAGAACGTCCCACGTCCGGCCGAGAATTTCATCGGCCAAATTCATCCGCTCGACCACGCCGGCCGACCGCGAATCCGTCCGACCCCGACCGTTCCGACTCGGCCCACGACCCGATTGTCCGGCCGATCGTCCCGCACGACCGTCCCAACGCCGCGGTCGACCCGAAGCCCTTTTTGAAGCCCAAACTTATGTTTTCAAGCCCGGCTTAACCCTAAGCCGCCTCTAGAAAGACCTAGCACTATATATATGGATTTTTAGCCTCTTGAGAAAGAGAGCCGCCCTGTATTTCGATTTCCTACTCTAAGTTTTATTGCAATCATGTTTTCTTCATCTCTATGTGTGTTTGCTTTGATCATGTCTGAGTAATCCACTAGTTAGGTTGCTAGGGTTACTATTCAATGAGTTGCTTGCATGATCTTTGATTTCAATGATTAGCTAGGGATTATATTAGAGTCTTTGTCTCGTCTTGTGCACTTAACTAATGCTGATTGCTTTACCGCGCATCTAGTAATCCGATCTTAGGTTGATTTGAGCCTCGACAGTGCTGTATCATTCGCCGGACATATTCTTTGACAAGCTAGGTTTCTTAGACTGCGAAAGTTGATCTATCTATATCTAGTGAACTGTATCAGAACCTATTCATTCTAATGCTTGATCTAATCACCTAGGGACATACCAAAAGTTTAGCGACTAGGTAGATTAGCAAAGGAGCCGGAGCCTCGAAAGTGGAATGGTTTTATATTCGTGATCTGTGTTCTAGATGGTTCTTAATATCCCAATATCCCTAATCAATTAATCTATCATTGTTTCATTGATCATTGCTTGCTTCTCTGCGATAGCCCCTATGACCTAGCGCTTTTCCTTTATTGTTTACAACCTCGTTATACTTGCTAGTTCGGTTCACCATTACAACCTCAATCATACTTTTGTTTTAGCTTGATCCAAAATCCATAGTTACAAAGTGTACTCAATAGCCAGTCCTTGTGTTCGATACCCATACTTCCGCGATCTGTGCACTTGCAGAGGTCTAGGAGTTTGGTAAAACCTGACTCCGCATCAAGTTTTTGGCGCCGTTGCCGGGGACTGCAGCAGTACCTTTGGAACTCGACTAGGATCTAGTCTAGAACCTTTTCCTGTTTTGCTTTTCTTTTGCTTTTGAATTTTTAGTTTTTGATTTCCTTTTCTTTGATTTTTACTTTTGTTTTTGTTTTTCCCTTTTGATTTAACTTGTTTCCAAGACTCTTTTCAGGTGCATGACTAGGAGGTCCAACAAGGACAACCTAGTTGAACATCCAGAGATAGACAAGCTTGAGAAGCAACTTAGGAAGCAAAAGCCCAAGAGATGGCCGACGAAGCAGCTCGCGCTCACGCCGCTGAAGTGGCGCGCGCTCAAGAAGAAGGAAGAGATCCACCTCCTCCTCCTCCTAACCCTGCTGGAGATGTGAACGCACAACCCCAAGCTGGAGCACCTACAATCGGAGACTATGACTCTGCCGATGCTTTCTTCATGGATAGAAACCCTATCCATCCACCACTTCCTGCAAGGAATGACTATGAGATCAAGCCTCAGATCATTGCATTGGTTAGACAGAACCAATTCAATGGACTTCCAGCTGAGCACCCTCTTGATCACATAGAAAACTTTGAAGAAATTTGCAGCACTACAAGATCCAATGGAGTCTCTGCTGACTACCTTAAGTGCAAGCTCTTTTCATTCTCTCTTGGCGACAAAGCTTCAAGATGGTTGAAGTCTCTGCCAGCTCACTCCATCACCACTTGGGATGAGTACAAGGCTGCATTCATCAACCACTTCTACACCAAACAGAGATCAATTTCTGTGAGAAACAAGATCTCCACTTTCGCCAAGCAACAATGAGTCTTTCTATGAGGCGCTAGATCGATTCAAGGAGTACATTAGGGACTGCCCTAATCATGGTTTCAATGAGGGAAACCTATGGAACATCTTCTATCGTGGCATTGACCACAAGTACAAGCTTTCATTGGACACAGCAAGCAATGGAAACTTCATGACCAAGACTGTTGATGAAGCTAAGGTTCTTATTGAGAATCTTGCAGCTAGTGATTGTAACAACTGTCCTGATTATGACCGCTCAAGCCGCACCACTACTAGCTCCCCTGATTCTTTTCAAATGACTGAACTCAAGAACATGATGGCTCAAGTTCTTAAGGGACAGCTCAAGCATATCAATGCAATAGAAGGGATGAGTGATGCTAATGAAGATTCATCAAGAGAATGCATGGGAGATTTCTCTAATGAAGCCAATGAAGAAGATGTGAACTACATTGGAAACTATGGGAACAAGGGATACAATCCAAGCTATCGCCCAAACCCCAACATGTCTTATAGAAACCCCAATGTGGAGAATCCTCAAGACCAAGTGTATCCTCCAAGGTATCCACAACAACAAAGACCTCCTTACCAATCTCAAGGAAGTCAATTTCAGCCAAGGCAAGGATATGAGCAGAGATCATCATATCCGCCCAAGGAGCCATATGCTTCTTCACCAAATCAAGCTCCTCCAAACCAACAAGGTGGGAGATTTGAAGGAATCCTCCAACAGATCATGGATGGCCAGAAGAGAAACACTAAAGAGATGTATGAGAAGATGGACACTTTGTTCAGCAATCTCAACACCAAGTATGATGCTGTTGCCACTCATGTGAAGAAACTAGAGACTCAAGTCACTCAAACTATGGAAGCTGTTAAGAGACAGGAAGCTGAATCCAAGAAGTCCTTTTGCAACTCAGCCGCCATAGAAGAAAGATTTGAAGACCAAGTTCCAGAATGGATGCTTTCAAAACCTACTGTTGATTGCATGATTTGGCCTGAAGAGAATTACCCAGAGAGAGAGTCCAATCGAGCTAGAAAGAGAAGACTCTTCCCAAAGATTATCCCCAAGACAGATAACTCAGGAAAGTTTGTTGTGCCTTGTATCATCAAAGGTAACATTCTTGAGCAATCTTTGTGTGACACAGGAGCCAATGTGAACATCATGTCTAAGAGGATAGCTGACAAGATAGGCCTCACCAAGATAGAGCCATCATCCATCTCCATCAACTATGCTGATTCATTCTCACAAACCCCTATGGCTTTGTGCCTAATGTGATGGTGCAGATTGGAAATTGCTCTATCCCTACTGATTTCCAGATTGTGGAAATGAGAGAGAGTAGCCATAGACCTCTCATATTTGGAACCCCTTTCCTGTCTACTGTGGGTGCCATATTTGATTTCCCCAATCAAAGAATCTCTTTCAACAAGGTGAACAAGGGTATGTTCTTCCCTATGTGTTCAACAAAGAACTCTTTTGTTGACATGGTCCAAGAGGAGAAAGCTACTTTGAAGCCACCCCAAGAAGGAGAAACTGAAGAAACAATCAAGGAAGATCCCATTCCTAAGCCCAAGCAGCTTGCCAAACAAGCAAGGAGTAAGACTAAGGCCCCTACACCAAAACCGCCCAAGGGATCAACCAAGATTGAAGATGAGGCCAAGCCAAGAAGGAAGGTTAGAAAGCCTAGGTCTGGCCGCAACATGAAGCTTCTATTCCCAAAGGAGCTTATTGATGAGAATCTAGAAGGATTCAAGGAGAAAGTGACAAGAACTCTAAAGCTTTTTCCTAAGGCAGTAGTGCCAAGGGACATTCATGGAGAGATTGTCTATCCAGCTGTGAATCACCCACCAGATACTCATTGCAAGGAGAAAAGACTTGGAGGATCAAGGATGCCTCTTGTCTCTATCTTCTCCTGAGCGCCAAGCCCTTACAGTCAAGCTAAAGACTTAAAACAAGCGCTGCATGGGAGGCAACCCATGAGGTACTTTTACTTTTCTTTCTTTAATTTTCTTAGTTTTTGTTTTGCTTTTGTGTTTTCTTTGTTTTAAGATAGGATAGAAGGAGAAAAAGGTGTGAAAACACAATCCGCGCCAAAACATTGGCCGCGGACGCGCAAAGAAATTTTGGCCGAGCAATTTCCAACCGGGCCGACCGTCACGGTCGAGCCGGGAAGGAATAGCTTGTGCTCGGCCGGATTGATCATCGCGCGACAAAACGTTCGCGCGCACGCACGAACCGGGAAGAAATAGGCCGCGATCGGCCGGATTTTGTATCGGAACGGACCGACCGCCGGTCGATCCGGGAAACAAACTCGGCCTCGGCCGAAATTCTCTCGGCCAAAACGAATTTGGCCGACCAAATCGCTCGACCGCGACAAAATCCATCGGCCATCGGCCCAAAACTTTTCTAGGCCAAGGTACACAATGGCAAAGACAAAAGGAAATGAGAGTATGAAGAAGAAGAAGAACCCATTCATGGAGCCACCAAAGAAACAAATCAAGCTAGGGAGTAGTAGCTCCAATGCAAGAGCAGCAATACCAACTTCACCACATTCCATTGATGCAATCAAGAACATGTGGAGAGTCCAAGAGAGGAGAAGATGATTGGGCACTTGTAACTTTGTTGGAGAACAAAATCAAGACCCAAGAAAGTGTAAGAAGGCAATGGAGAAGGTGAACATCGAGCCATGTGTGAAGATGGACACCCAAACCCTTGATCTTCTCAAGATAAGAGATGATGTCACATGGTACATAAGGAAGCTAGGCTTGAGCAAGCTCTTCAAGCTAGAATGTAGTGAGTACTCACAACTCACCAAGGAGTTCCTCTCCACAGTAGCTCTTGCCTTTCCCAACCACAATGGAGACCAACCAGCTGGTGATGGACTCCTACTCTTCAAGATAGGCGATGCCAATGGGCGCATCTCATCTCAGCTCTATGCCAACTCTTTGGACTTCCCAATGAGACAGCACATGACTTCAAGGAGAACTCAAAGAGGAAACAAGCTGCCTTTGCTGATTGGACACACTTTGCCAATGAACCATTCTTGCCTTCAAGGTCAAAGGTGTCTAGAATCACCCATCCAGCCATTCGCTATGTGCACCGCCTCATCTCCACCACTTTCCAATGCAAACAAGAAGCCAACAAGGTCACAACTGATGAGTTCTACATCCTCACCACACCATTCATCAAGCATGAGTACAAGGCCAACCTTGGACTTTTACTTGCCAAGACATTCATCAATGTGAGGAAGCTAGCTCAAGACTTGGAAGGCAACAAGAAGCTTTGTGTTCGTTTTGGGAGGCTTATCACGGCCATAGTACAACATGTGGGGATTGACATTCCCAACTATGAGCCACTACCCAAGCCAACCCCTTTGGATCTCCATGCTCTTCAGCACATCCACTTCCTAAACCGTTGGACTAAAGACCCAACTCGGTTTTGCTATGAGTTTCCAATTGGTCCAGCCAACACTTCCCTTGTCTTGCTGCCACATGAAGACATCCCAAGCCTACGCTCAGGTGTTGTCACTTTCCAGCCCAATGAGGAAGACTTCTATGTTCCATCAAGTGAGAAACCATCATTCCCCATGCTCACCTATCGCACACTTCAGCATGCAGTCAAGACTCAACGCCGCCTCCAAGAACGCCATGTTCTCACTACTGGCATGGCCGCACATCAGGCTCTAGACCGTGTTAACAAGCTGGAGAAGATAGTGGAATGCCAATCTCGCTTCATCTCGCGCCTATCCGTGTAGTTCGCCACATTGCACCGGAGAGACTCTTTCGCCCTTCTTCCACCGCTAGAGAGCCATATGAGCCTGACCTTGGTGAGTTCTCACTAGACTCAGAGCTTGGTTCAGAAGGCGATGACCCCATAGATGAGGAAGAGAGTTCTTCTCACTGCCACACATAGTCATCTCAAGTGGTACTTAGTGCAATGGACACTTACAAATCTCCATTTTCTATCCCTATCTCATTTTAATGAATTTTTCTTTATTTTTCTTTTACTTTGAATATTACCTCTCACCTTAATGTGATTTGCTTTCACCGGGACGGTGCAAGTTAAGTCTGGGGGGAGTTTTATTGTGTTACTAATGCATTTTTCTTTCTTTTCTTATGTTTTATTCACTTTGTTTCATGTTTTTCAAAAAGTTTTATTGAGTCAAAAACCAGTCCGGAAGTTATGAACTTGCTTTGAGAATTGAGAGTGTTGTGCTAACAATCCATGACCCTAGAGCAGAAACCAGCTAAAGGCACAAGCCTAACAGAAGCTCTTACAGTGGATCGACATGCTAGCTCAGCAAAATTTCTAAGGTAACCAAGCAATCTAGAGTTAACCTCACCTTAATCAATCTTAATACTCTTGTCAAGGGGGTTGGCATACATGTCGACAGTTCCTTGCTTGATTTTCAATAAGATTTGTCTAATCTTTAAAGAGTTCTCCTCTCTCTCCCATCCCAAATGGTAAGTGATATTTATGAGAAAAAGCTCAAAGAGCACAAGGAAAACAAGTAAGCATGAGGAATGCATATGTCTGTACCTTCATGTCTTATGGAATACCTTAGTCAAACAAGGAACAAGCTAAAGACTTATCCTGTGGTTGAAAGAAGGGTCAATAGAAAAAATAAAATGATACCCTAGAAAAGTAGGGAGAAATTGACCTTTCAAAGTTCTGATGTGAGAAAGAGAGAGGAAAAGAACTCATTGCACTTAAAGAGGCAATCTTGGAGAAGATCAAGTGGGTAAGAACAAGTTCAATTGATCGATGTCCCCTTGATAAAGAATTCACGCTTTAAATTTATGCAAGAGGTTAGCAATAGAGAGTTTGGATTGCTGGATGAGACTAGTTGGGTTGGTATTGTTCGCTAAACTTGCAGGGTGTATGTGAAGCTAACCTTATGTTGTCTATGTTCATAGTGGAATACAGGAAAGGAACCTTTCACAGGATATTCAAAAGAGCAAGGGAGCTTCCACGTTTTCAAACCTCTTTCACGGATTTAGATTCTTTTTGCTTGAGGACAAGCAAAGATCTAAGTCTGGGGGAGTTGATATACCTCTATTTTACACTTTTTATACTGTTTTAGCATTGTTTTCTAATGGTTTTTGGCAGGTTTTCTATCTAAAAAGGTAGTTTTACTGTGTTTATAGTGTCTAGAGTCTAAACAGGTGAAATGATGCATTTTGGAGCAAAACCATAGGATTTGCACTTCAAGCCGCTCCATGCACAAGCACCAACTTTAAGAGGGCCCAGAAAAAGATCTACTCAATGGATTTCATCAAGACCAGTTCCCTGCGTGCTCTGATTGAGTTAACTTTCCAACGCAACTGGAATGGCCTCATTTGGATGAGTAGAAAAGGAGTTATAACCAAAAGAGTGAAGACTGTCCAGACGGCTCTATCGAGAATCAGCGCCCAACCGCGCAGTCCGGCTGGCCGAGGAACGAATGTTCCACGCTCGGCCAAATCTCGTCGTCCGTCTGAAGTCTCGGCCAAAGTCCAAAACCGTTCGGCCGATCACGCAATCACGACCCGGGAAACATTGCCCGCGGTCGGCCAAGCCACGCCACGACCCGCGCACGACCAAACCGCCGAGCCGGGAGAACGCCTCGCGGCCGCGCAACTCTCCGCGTACCACGGCCGATGCCGTCCGAGCCGGGAAACTACGTCCCGCGTCCGGCCGAGATTTCATCGGCCAAATCTTCACCGTCCGACCACAGCGGCCGACCACGCATCCGGCCCCGACCGTTCCGACTCGGCCACGACCCGATTGTCCGGCCGATCGTCCCGACCGACCGTCCCAACGCCGCGGTCGACCCGAAGCCCTTTTGAAGCCCAAACTTATTTTTCAAGCCCGGCTTAACCCTAAGCCGCCTCTAGAAAGACCTAGCACTATATATATGGATTTTTAGCCTCTTGTGAAAGAGAGCCGCCCTTGTATTTCGATTTCCTACTCTAAGTTTTATTGCAATCATGTTTTCTTCATCTCTATGTGTGTTTGCTTTGATCATGTCTGAGTAATCCACTAGTTAGGTTGCTAGGGTTACTATTCAATGAGTTGCTTGCATGATCTTTGATTTCAATGATTAGCTAGGGATTATATAGAGTCTTTGTCTCGTCTTGTGCACTTAACTAATGCTGATTGCTTTACCGCGCATCTAGTAATCCGATCTTAGGTTGATTTGAGCCTCGACAGTGCTGTATCATTCGCCGGACATATTCTTTGACAAGCTAGGTTTCTTAGACTGCGAAAGTTGATCTACTATAATCTAGTGAACTGTATCAGAACCTATTCATTCTAAAGCTTGATTTAATCACCTAGGGACATACCAAAAGTTTAGCGACTAGGTAGATTAACAAAGGAGCCGGAGCCTCGAAAGTGGAATGGTTTTATATTCGTGATCTGTGTTCTAGACGGTTCTTAATATCCCAACATCCCTAATCAATTCATCTATCATTGTTTCATTGATCATTGCTTGCTTCTCTGCGATAGCCCCTATGACCTAGCGCTTTTCCTTATTGTTTACAACCTCGTTATACTTGCTAGTTCGGTTCACCATTACAACCTCAATCATACTTTTGTTTTAGCTTGATCCAAAATCCATAGTTTCAAAGTGTACTCAATAGCCAGTCCTTGTGTTCGATACCCATACTTCCGCGATCTGTGCACTTGCAGAGGTCTAGGAGTTTGGTAAAACCTGACTCCGCATCAAAACCCGCAGTCGGCCACGCCACAACCGGCCACGCCACAACCGCGCACGACCAAAGCGCGCGAGCCGGGAGTAACGCCTCGCGGCCGCGCAACTCACCTCACGTACCACGCACGAACGCTTCGTCCGACCCGGGAAACTATGCCTCGCGTCCGGCCGAAGATTTCCATCGGCCAATTCCTATCCGCCCGACCACGCCGGCCGATCGTCATAACATCGGCCCGACCGTTCCGACTCGGCCAAAGACCCGACTGTCCGGCCGATCGTCCCGCACGACCGTCCGAATGCCGCGGTCGACCCGAAGCCGTTTTTGAAGCCCAATCCGCACAATTCAAGCCCAAAGCCGGCGCCGACCTAGCTAGATTAGGTTTAGCCGTCTTCTTATACTTAGAGCATTATAAATACTTCTTTTTAGCCTTGTAACAAAAGAGAAGAGAGACCACATTCTATTTTACATCTTAATAAAGTTTTGCTTGCTTTTACTTTGTTCTTGCTTGTTACTCTTTCTAGAGAGGATTCGAATCTCTGTTCTTATGAATATGAATTCGATTTCCTTCTCTATGTCTGAGTAGTTTACTTGTTAAGTGATAGGAAGTCAAAGGATAGCATTCATGATGCTTGATGATTGATCACAATTAGGGTTTTACTTATAATCTCCATCTTTGCTTATACTTAATGCTTGTTGTTAATCTGGCCAATTAGCATATGCCTTTAGGTTGATTTGAGCCTCGACAGTGCTGTATCATTCGCCTGAACTAGTATTTGGTGGGCAATCTCTTTTAGACTGCGACAGTTGATCTACTTGTAGGTTGTGAACAATTGATCTTGATCGAACTAATGCTTGATTTAATCACCTAGGGACATACCAAAAGTTTAGCGACTAGGTAGATTAACAAAGGGGTCGGAGCCTCGACAGTGGAATGATCATACCATAGTGTTTCAAGTTCTAGATTAGCACCTAAGTGCGGTAACCCTAATTGATTGATTTCATGCTTCTTGAATTGCTTATCTCAAGACTATCCTATTGCTTAGCCTTTCTCTCCTATTGAATCCTTACTTTAATTACTTGCATGCTTTACTTTCTCTGCACTCAACCAACTTATACTTTTGCCCTAGCTTGTTCTCAAACTCATAACTTGTAGTGTGCAATCTGGTCCTTGTGTTCGATACCCGTTTACTACTTCTGACCTGTGCACTTGCAGAATCAGGGATAGGAAAGGGGAAGACCTGATCCGCACATCACTTGCTCCAGAATCCACCAAGGCATTGTCAAGCTTAAGATGCCCAAGTGTGCAAGGGAGAGTGAATTTCCCTTGATCCTTCACCTTTGGTAAGAAATTTGGTGAAGTGAGCAGGTTGATTTGATGAGTAGACTCCTTCAGAAGCTCTGAAACTCTATCACTGTTGGCCATAACATCCTTAACCATCTTCATTTGATCAAATGCCTGACTCATGCTTTCCATAGGGGGCAACTCAATTCCAATCTCAGTGAGATCTCTTCTGAACTTGTGAATCACTTCCTTGTGCCCTTGACTAAGCAGGCGAGACGAGGAAGGTCAACCGGTTGGTAAGGATCAAGCAAGATCGGCTTTGGGACAGATGAGGTCGGACTCGATCGAGCTAGAGTTCGACTCGATCGAGCTGCCGATCGAGCTTGTTGTGCGAGCTCAACTGGTGAAGTGTGAAGGGCCACAGTAGGTGCATGCACTTCTGGTTGATCAATCTGGACTCCAGGAGCCTCAGCAGCAACAATCTCATCATCATTCAGCAGTAAACAAAACTCTTCCATGACTCTTTCTTGATCCTCTTCTTCATCAAGTCCTTCTTGAGTGAAGATGACCTTGCACTGTTCCTTGGGGTTCTGAATAGCTTTACCAGGTAGTTGTCCTTGCTTTGTAGCAGCAGCAACAGAAGAAGCATGATTCTCCAGAGAGTAAACTCTTGTGTTGAGATTCTCGATCTTGGAGTTGATTTCAGCTAGCTTCTTGCTTGTGTCCACTACACCATCAGCTTGCCCTTGAAGTATTGTTTCAGCATTGCCTTGAGCTCATTCTCTTGTAGGTGCAGGCTGGGGTGGTTGGTGGGGAAAGCCAGGTGGTATTCATTTGCTGACCAGGAAAAGTCCCTTGGGGTCCTTGGTAATTGTTCTTTTGACCATACCCATGTTGTGGGGCTTGACTCGATCGAGCTTGCTGTTGTTGAGGATAGACCTGGTCCTGAGGGTTAGCAACATCAGTGTTTCGGTATGACATGGCAGGGTTGGACTTGTAATTATAGTATCCTTTGTTGTAACCTCCTTGCCCATTGCTCATGTAGCACACTTCAGCAAATTGTGTATCCTCCCCTTCTTGGACTTGGTTCCATCTCTTCAGCAGACACAAAGTTGACTTTCTTCATTGTGGACTGAGCTAAGATCAGCTTATCCAACTTCTCATTCAATGCCTTAACATCTTTTCTCAATTTCTCATGACTCGATCGAGTGGTGGGTCGAGCTCCGATTGGTGCGATCATACTCTTCTCCATAGCTTCCATTGGAGTTTGCAATGTTCTCCACAAGCTGCCAGCCATCATCCACATCCTGATTGAGGAAGTTCCCATTGCTGGCTGTGTCCTAGCATCTCCCTATACCTTGCCAAGCACCTCTATAAAGAGTGGAGAGTAGGATTCATTGTTGAATCCATGGTGTGGGCACTGACTTGTGTAGCCTTTGAACCTCTCCCAAGCCTCAGCAAATGTCTCATTGTTTC